TGTTAAGTTTTTTGTTTTTTGCTAACGTGAATGTGCGTAGGGCCCACATAGACATGTAAGACTTTGATCATGTCCTTTAGTATTAATTTGCTCCTGAACTCTTTTTTTAAGAAATGTTGGGTACTCTAAAGTTTTTTTTTTTGGAGCATTAGGTACCTTAAAATTTTATTAAAATAAAATTTATTAAATATTGTCAAAATATTAAATATTTTCATATTTAATAATTTAAATATTATTTTTTTATAAATATTCATTCAAAATTTATAAATTACTTTTGAAACATTAACAATTTAAACTAGCATTTTATAAATTTATAGACGACTTCTTATTTTTATGTATTGATCTTTGATCTTCTCTTTGAGACAATGCACAAATCGTTGCCTTTTGTGCATTTTAGAACTTATTTATATTTTTAATATTGTCTAAGTTTCTTAAATTTTTAAGTCATTTTTTTATAATTTTTTTAGTCAACTAACGATATTTTCCAACATATTACATTACCTAAATTTAATACTCTTTATAATTGCAATGTTAGGAGTAAAATAAGAAACATGACAAATTAGGACAAACATTATGAGAACAAAGATGTTCATTTGAAAGATATCACTTATTATAATGCGTTACAAAAAGAGTTACTTAATAAGAGAAAAATTAAGAGATGAGAAGAAAAAAAAATCCCTTTGTTAATTTGAAAATTCATTCCTTTCATTTTAATACAAAATTGCAACATATAAAAAATTATTAAATTGGGTGGTGTAATATTTTAAATAAAATACTTAATATTTTAATAATATTATGAAATTTTATTTTAACAAGATTTCATGATACCCAACGCTCTTAGAAAAAGACTTTGAGTGTGTAGCGCTCATAGAAAAAGAGTATAAGGGTAAATTAATATTAAAAAATATGATTAAAGTCTTACATGTCACTGTGTGTGGGCCCTACACACGTGCCAAGTCAGCAGAAAAATGGAAAACTTAATTGTTGACTAATAAAAAGGGTTTTTTCTCTTCAAAAAAATAATCAAAGGTAAAATAGTCTCACTTAAAATATACGGTGCTTAGTGCTCCTAAAAAATAAGTATAATAATAAAATTGGACTTTAACTCTAATTTCAAAGTACTTTTAGTTAAATTACAAAGATTAAATATAAGATAAGGGTATCCGTCCATAATTATTTTCTTTCCCCTTCGTGGACTTTGCAGTGGAACTAAGTAGAATAAAATATTATTAAATTAACCCCCCCACCCAAAAGTACTTTCCTTGATAAAGTGAAAGATGGAAGAGATCCAAATCATGTTTAGTATTTTACTAATGTTTGATAGAAAAGTATTCTCCACCCATTTTAGTAATTGTTATGTTGCTCAAAGGTATGATTGGTTTGAGAAGAGGAGAGGAGAATATTTTTATATTATTTATTTAATTTTGTTGGAGAGGAGATGAGGAAAGAAGCTTTTAATAATTCTTTATTTAGTTTAAGAGGGAAGAGAATGGAGGGTAATAATCAACTTACTTTCATACCTTTACATAATTTTTTTTTAAATTTTTCTCTCATATAAATCTATTTTATTTATAAACACTAATTGCATCATTTCTAAAAAATTACTCCAATCTTAACATATTTTTATACATGTATTAAAAAGTTGATACATGTTTTTATTCAAGAAATTGCCACCTCCAATATGGCCTAGCTACCGCATATCACCACCATGCCATTCATGTCTGATGGCATCGAGGCTTCGGACCTAGCTCAAAATTTACATTTGCCACTAGTCCTACATCCTTGTATTAGAGCAATATATGAGCAATGGACATTTTTTTTAATGAAGATATACCCTTAATCAAAAGTGATTACAAGCAAGTTAAGTCTGTCAAATAATCTTCTTTCATCATCTACCATCTTAATACAGTAAGGTGAGAGTTGATCAAAAGTAGTATAACATATAAAATCATTTTGAGCTTGGGTGGCCAATAGATGGACACAAGTGTTGGCCTCCTTAAATGTGAAATTTAAATGAATGTTCCAATTCTAATAGAAATAAATTCTAGCCTAGTTGTTAATTTCTCTAAACGAATGATGAGCAATATCATTTCCAGTGATCAAGTTGATTGCTTTAACACAATTTGTATAAACTTGTACATTGCTAAAATTCCTTTCCCAACATATATAAAGATCATAAATAATACCAATTACTTTAGTAATAGCAGAGTCGTAATTGCCTATATTCAAAAGCCACGTACCCAATTAGTATTATGATTTCTGATAACACCTCCACACTTACCAACTCCATCCTTATATGATCCATCAACATCAAGTCTTACTTTGTTACAAAGTGGTCTTACCCAAACATCATAAAGACGATTAGAATGTCTTTGCACTATGGAGGATGTCCTAAGGATATGGAGGTTACTTTTGACCTTGTAGAGCAATTTCTATGCTAGTACTTTTTGCCTCTTCATTTGAAAAAGCTTGTTTGCATTTAGAACACCATATTTCCCAACAAATATTTCAGCATGGGGGCAATCTCTCAATAAGTGAATAGCATCTTCTTTTCCTCTGCATCCCAAATGAAGAGTGATAGAGAAAATGAAGAGGGTGTGGCTTCTTGTCGAAGAAGGAGGAGGAGACATGGAAGGAGGAAGCAGTGGAGGAAGGAGAGATAAGGGAGTGATGAAGGAGGCTATGAACTTTTTTTTTTAATTATTGACAGTCACAAAATATAGCAAAATTAATGAGGGTAGATTAATCAACAAATTTGGCTTCCTTATAAAAAACTCCAATTTAGAGGGAATCAAACCCCTCCCCTCCCTACCAAAACCCCACAACCAAATACACTATAAATGTGAGCAGACTTGAGAGTTGAGTTGACATAAAAAATCTCACATAAGATGAAATTATATTTAATAATTAATATATAATAAAGAAGAATGACTTACAAACTTAAACATTAAAATTTTGAGTTAATATGTAATGTTTTCTATTGCTTTTGTTATTTCCTTTCTCTCCCCCTATCATCGGGTAAAGATAACCTTTAACTTTAAACAATGTATAAAAATCTGTGTCTTTATTTAATTAAAAGCAAAACACTACTTTAAGTAAGTATATAAGTTTTTCCCATTTGAAAATATTAAAACAACCAAAGGGTATGTCGGTAAAACCATAAAAAATACTTATATTAATTGTTCATACGCAAAATAAGGGGGAGGAGAGCAAAATCTCTCCCCTTCCTTTCCCTCCTCTTTGTTTCCCCCCTCAAACCAAACAATATGTATCAATCTCATAGGCTTTTAAGACCTTCAATGTTGGTACCCATAAACTAAAGTCTAGCTGCTTTCATTAATTACCACATATAGTATAGATAACGTTCCTTTTATTATTTCAGGTATGCAAATTCTAGACAAGGAGGATAGTTTAAAGTTTAAACTTTAAAGAGGACATGTCCTTTATTGCCCATGCTCTTGAAGATGGAAAGAAGGAAAAACAAAAGGAGGAAAAAGGTGTATCTTAACTCTTGTATAATATTATATATGTTCCAGGTTCAGCACTAAAGTTTCAAAGAACTTAAGAAAAAGAATATAATCCATTGTAAATTTGAAATTGACGGGCAAAAGACTTCACATTGTCTTGCATACAAAATAAAAAATCAACGCAAAAAAATTATATAGATGTGATTGTTGCAAGCATAGAAAGCTTCATGTGTCGGAAGTAACAAATGAAATTATGTTTGAGTTGAGTGGCAAAGAAATGCAGTTCTTCCAAACAAATGTCGAGGATTGAAGTTTTGAACGACATGCACTGAAAATATCATGTTTTAAAAAATTATGTTTAATTAATTAGACCCGGCAAATCTAAAATCTACCTAATTCAATACTATAAAATCCCCGTGGGTGAAACTTAAAACAAGTTACATTTAAAATAAGTTAAATTATACTAACATGCGTTGGTTCTAGCAAGTAAAAAAGGTTATAATTATTTAAGTATAAATTTTTGAGTTTGAATTTGTGTGCATACAAAAATCCTTTTTAAAAAAACTACCTTCAATTGAGTTCAGCAATGCTCGAATTTGATTCAATTAAATAGTCAATAAAAAAATAAATCACATTATCTAGCTACTATACACTTGGTAAAAAAAAAAAATTGAGAGTTGGGTCCAATAATTTCCTAAAGCCATAATATGTTTCTAGGTCTAAAAACTATTTATAAATATACTTACAAATTGTTTATCAATGAAATTTTTTTATCAAGAATAACACTTTAACCCATAACTTTGTAAGTCATTGAACAAATTAATCCTTACTATATATGGACTAACCTTCAATGGTATTGTCTATTATTATATATTTGATTGTATCAATTGATGATTAAAGATTATACAGTGATAATTCATGTGGGGAGATCCGTGACAATATGTGAAAGGGGATGCGCTGAATATGATTTTTCAAGGTTAAAAGAAAGAAAATAAAAGGACACATGCTTGAAACTGAAAAAAGGAAGCACTGGAAAGGGCAGCTAGACGCCAAATTCCAACCAGAAATATTCCTCCAAATCCTTTCACGAGCACATCCACTTTCTGGCCACCATTACTTGTCTTCATCTTTCACTTTGAGTATGTATCCACTTTACCCTAACCCGCCATTTCTTTTTCTGCACATTTCTTAAACACACACACACACACACGAATAACATATTAGGTTATTAATGTTAGTCATCTTATTAGTTTTAAAACATAAATTGACCATTAAATTAATTGGGTAGAAATTTCTCAATTAACTTATTACTTACACAAAAATTGAGAGTTAAATTCCTAACCATTTACTCAAGTGACAAGATTCATTACCCCACTATATTGGGTATATACTTGTTTTCTAAGATACGAGGGAATCCAATGACCACGGTGCCACTTTACACTGTAGAGAAAATCCCTCGTGATCTCAAATCCTGCGATTCACGGGTCCGAAACTTGTGGCTCTGCTTTCTTCCACATTCATATTTTTACCTTTTAAATACCCAAGACAATGGAACTATATTCAAGAGCCATTATTCTTCATCATCATCGCAAAGTAAAGAAGCTGAACAAGACGAGGATGAGGGTTAACACCGCGGCGCTAGTGGTGGTGATAGTGGTGGCGGTGATGTTTGTGGGAGGGTCGAGAGGGTTGAGTCTGTGTAACATGAACGAGGAAGGAATAGCAGCCTGCAAGCCATCAGTGAGTGAGCCAAATCCAGTGGATCCATCCACAGAGTGTTGTAAAGCTCTCTCAGGGGCAGACTTGGAATGTCTCTGCTCTTACAAGAACTCATTTCAGTTACCACTTCTTGGCATTGATCCCAATCTTGCCCTTGCTCTTCCTGCTAAGTGCAACCTCACTCTTCCTTCCGATTGCTAATAATTAATTAACTCTTGATCCAAAGCACCTGGTCGTCTAAGTGTGTTTGTGAGTGTATGTATGTTTGTGTTGTGATGATTTATCATGTTTTCTAAGATCTTGGTGTAAGTTTAAGGTTTGTGTTCCGACATCATTAATGGCCACTGCGTCTGCTTTATTATTACTCAAAAATGCCATGAGTTCTTTATTAATGTGGCTGAACAGTGGTAGTAATTGAGTGGTCGGCCAACGCTGAGGAAACATGTGGCAACAACCAGGTCTCTTGGGCAAAATAGTATGGGTAAAAAAAAGTGCAAGGCTACGACAAAATAAAACCAAAGTCAACTTTGTTTTAAGAGATCTCTTCATCTAAGTGGCAGATCATTGATTAGGATCCTAAGTTCGAAATTGTCTTGTTATGTCTGAAGAATACAAGTTAGTCAGACATGTATATTAGCCTTTTATAGAGAGGTGATCAACTTGATGATTTGTTTGTAAGAGAGAATAGGAAATTTGTCTAATACATTAAGAATGGGATTTTATCATGTTCAATCCCATTAACCAATTTGGCGTAATTAAGATTATATATTCTTTTTAAAAATTATATATAAATCCAAGAGACACTAGCATTTAACAATACAAGAGGTTGGTGGTTGGAATTACATATGTATATGTATTACAAAAATTTTAATAAATTTTGAAAGAAGTGAAATATCTAACATCTATATAATATTTAAAAAAAAATTAGCTTTAGGGCCGCCTACTGGCCCCCCTCCCTCCACCTTCATTTAAATGATGAGTTTCTCTCTTCTACTTTTTTTTTTACTGCAAATTTAAACTGTTTAAATTAAATTTTTATTTTTAAAAATTTTTAAATTTAATTTAACAGTTCAGATTTATAATAATCTCTCCTTTACTCTTCTTTGCAAAGGAGAAAATTCAACTTCCCATATAAACCAATACGTATGATATGTTATGTGCAAGTTGCACCATTAAATAACTGATAAACCAATAATGTGTGTGTGTATAAAACTTTATGTATTTGCCATACTAGGCCTTTGGTATAAGGATAAACTTGGAAAATGAGCTAATAACTAATCATAGCCTTTAAAAATCATTTCCTTTTTTATTATGGACATTTCATCCCCAAGTAAATTGTGAAAGGTGAGATATTCATAGTGCGCATTAATGTAAATGAGGTTGAGACTAGTCATCATTAGTTTAGGCTGTCAAATTTGTTAAGGCATCCTATAAAATAATTTAGATTTAGTGAGTGACCTGAATCTATTTAATGAATATTTTAATTATAGTTATAAATAAATTTTACTAACATTTAAAAATTATTAAAATATATTTTTTAAAAAAAATTAAAACATTCCTCATGATTAATACACTCCTCGCATATGAGATTCTATATTTTGTAAGTATTATAGGACAATTTTTTTTAATACATCCATTCAATTAAATACATTGATTGTTATAATTATACTATGCCAGATATTGATTGATTGAATGAGTGTACTCCAGCCAACATTTCTAGACTTTTAATTGTCATCAAGTGAATAATTAAATTTCTTTTAATTTAAATTTACTTCCAACATTTGCCATATAATGTATAATACTCTTTCCCTGTTCTAATTTATAAAATACTTTTACAAGTGATTTGGTGTCCTAAAATATAAAATATTTTAATAAAAAAATTTAATTATACCCATTTCAATATTACCATTCCCACCTTATTATATTTTCTCTTAATATTTCACAAATAAAGTTCTATTAAATGAAGGATATTTTAAAAATTTATATTATTATTTTTAAAAGTAAATTATAAAATATATTTAATAAATTTTATTGATATATGTAATTTTATCAAAATATGTCTTGTAAATTGACATTGAGGAACTATGTTTTTTTTTTTTTTGAGAAATGAGATATTTTGTACCAAAGTTGTCTACATGCATGTTAGACAACTCATGACAATATGATTCTCAGGGACCACACTTCTTATTGCTTCATCATGTCGTCTTTGAGTTGGTGAAATTTTCAACTGAAATCCTCAATGATGTTCAACAAAATGTTTCATTCCTTCTGATATCAAATTAAAGCAGACAAAATTCTTGGATCCTCAGATCTTTATAATTCAATTGCCTAAAACAATAAAATTTGAAACAGCAAGTTCCACAGTGAATAAAAGAATATTATAAGTGATTAACCCTAGCTACAATTTAAAAAAAAAAACAAAAATAAGATATTTGAAGAGGTTAATTAACATTGGGGAAGATCAGACGGTGGGTGTGGCAGCTTCTGATGGTGTCCATTTCCATTTTGAACAATCCAAGCCATTTTCAAGCCCCAACTTGTATGCACCTCAAGGTGACAGTGCATGAACCACACCCCTACAAGCAAAAACAACACCACCGAATTAATAAATAATATATATTAATTTTATGATAATTTCAAATTAATCCTATGTACTAATTAATTGCATTATACATACTCCCTCCGTACCTAAATGTAAAAGTTAGATAACTGATTTAATTATACTCTCTCTAATCCTATATATAACTCATCTATTAAAAGAATTTTGTGGTCCTAAATATAAGTTATACTGCAAAAATTTGTATAGCATTAGTTAATATTGATTTATTCCAAATATGCTCTTTTCTTAAATTTCAATGAGGAGAAAAATAATGTTTGTTTTTAAAATGTATGGCATTTATTAGCCATGAAAATGAAAATCAAAGTAATTTTAGACAATCTCAACTAACTTTTAGTTTTAGTTCTTGTGAGTTAGTTATATCTAACTTACAAAAAGGACAAGGGATCCAGCAGAGATTAAGAAAATTACTCAAGTCAGTTATTTGTAAAATAAATAGGGTTAGTTTCTTTAAAATATCTCTCTCAATCATTTGCATTAACACGTGAATTAATAGGCATGGTTTAAAAAGAATGTTATAAATTTATGAGATAAATTTTCTGGTCTTACAATTTTTTTATAAAAAAAGTTTAAGTAAATTAGGTCCTCATTAGGATTAAAATATGCCCCCTGCTTAAAAAACACTTATATAAATATTTAATATTTAAGTAAGGTTCTCACATCATCGACAAGATTTAAACTGGAAGATTTTTAAATTATGAACCTAATATTTACCAATGGAACTAATTAAATTTTTATTGATTGTGGTCTAAACAAGCGACTCAACAAGCTAGGATTAAAGTGAGTAGCATATATTTTCAGTTGTTGGACTAACCTGGATTGTCTGCGAGGAAACGAAGCGCCACCCACCCACCAGATGGTACACCTACAGTGTTCCTCTCAGCTGGATCAACCACGTTGAACTTCAAAGGGTCTTTTTTAGAGTCAAAATTTCCAATACCTTGACCCACCACAAAGAAGTTAAATCCGTGAAGGTGAAGTGGATGGCTCTCTGCACCAATAATGCTCGTATCCTGAAGAACAAGCTCCACGCTCGTGTTATAAGGCAACATCACCACTTTAGTCCCACTGTTCACCACAATATTGCTCGGTGGGGTCCCAGTATAGTTGAATTTGAAAGGTGGGTTCGCCGGAAAATCAGTTGTATATACTCCTTTTGATTTGTTGAAGAAATGGGCTTGAAGTAAAGCCACGTTTGGCTGCACGAAGGAGACATTGTTAATGGAAGCTGCGACTCTTGTGTTGTTTGGTCCTTGGCACGTTTGGTTCTGTGAGCACTTGATAATCCCTAAGCCTACAGTGAAGAAGAAGTGTCTGTCAACAGATTTTGGAACTTTTGCCGGGAATTTTGCGTTGGCTAAGCTTCGAATCTTGTTGTTGAAGTTCATTGAAAAGGCCGAGTCATTGAACTTTGGAAGCGATGGTTTTAGAAGAGGAAGTTTTTTGTTGTTTAGGTTAGGGTTTGGTGGTGGTGGTGAGTTTTTCTTGTAATGGAGAATTCCGGCGGCGGTGGTGTTATCGAAGGTAGCCGGACCGGTGGCGTAGGGTCTAGCGGCAATGAGGAAGGTGGCGTTTGGTGGGTTAGGCTTTGTTTTGAGAAGGACGTTCATCGTTTGGCCAGGTGTGATGAGGACAACGTTTGTTTCGAAAGGTTTAACGTAAACAGCATCAGCTTCTACGACAGTGAATGTGTGGTTGGCAATGCTAAAGAAAAGCTCATCATTGAGTGCTGCATTGATCAGACGAAGCAGATAGGTTTTTCCTGGTTTCACGTTAAGCTTGAATGTATCTGCATGAAGAGCAATAATTCATATATATATGTGTGTGTGTGTGTAGAAAGACAAGTTCTCATGAAGTAATTACAGTTGAAATTTTTATCATCCATGTGAGAATTAATCACATGACATTGATACCTTTAGAAGAGCAGTTGTAGAGAGGACCAGGAAGGCCATTAATGGTGTAAGCATCAGAGAGATTGGGTGCTGAACCTGTTTGCATTGCCTGATTGATAACAGCTTCTGTATCTGCTTTCCACCACTCTCCTGCAATTTCATGTAATAACATCCATGTCAAAGTAACTGAGTAGTGAGAGAAGTTAACTTATCAAATCAATATATGTGTACAGGTTTCATAATATATCAGTATGTTTTCAATCTTTAAATTTTAAAATTGATTTCATCTCAAGTATCGTGTGTGTGTGTGTGTGTGTGTGATATTTAATAGCGATTTGAGATGTATAATCTATGATATTATAATAGAAACTCAAATCATCTGTTGCATCGCAGAGAATTGGCTTTTTATTATACAGATCATCATTGCTTACCAAATGTGAGGGTTTGTTCTTTGAAGGGTTGGGGAAATGGATAAGGAACATGCTTGCTGGGGAGGATGATGATGGGACCATAAAGAGTTGCTCTTAGCCATGAAATGTGAGCATGCCACCATAATGTGCCTCTTTGACCACTAACTGTGAAGTTATAAACATAAGATTGGCCACTTAGAATTGGGCATTGAGTAATATAAGCAGGTCCATCTGCCCAACCATTTCTCAATTGTCTCACACCATGCCTGCAAATTTATGTCATCATCATAACAATTTTAACACTTTTCTCATAAGAAAGTTTTTTCCTTATTGTTTTGGTAAGTCTAAAGAGTAGATTCTGTCGATAGCAAATAATAAATCCCTCGAGACATTGAAAGTAATGAGTAAACCTCTTCCAACTAAATTGCTACATATATAAGAATTGAAGTATATAAACTCTCAATCACTTGCTTAAATGATGAGAGCTCCTATTACTCACGCCAACTTTAGTTGGTCAGAAGTTTTATTAATATTTTATATCTATCTAACATAAATTTAACATTAAAAATTAGATCAATTATTGAATCGTTCAAGGAACATGGTCTATTAATCGTGGTTAAACTAATCATAAACAAAACATTTCATTAAATTGATCAAGGTATTGGTTTAATGACTTATTAATTCAACCAATCGAGTTAACCTAGTTTTCAATACCATGCAAACTAAAAGTATAATAATAACATACCAATGGATGGTGATGTTGTTCTTAACATGGTTAACAACTCTGATCACAAGCCTGTCTCCTTCTCTTGCTATGATTCTTGGCCCTGGGAACTGCCCATTGACAGTTACAATGCTCTTCGTTTGACAAAGCCTTGTCAAGTTCTGCAATTTGATCTGCACAAAACAAAACAACAACAATCATGCACACATTATTATATGTAATATAATAATCCTAACATTGTTGCATATATATTGCACTATGGATCAATTGAATTAATAAATGAAATGAACAAGTCATACTTCAAAATTGTAGTGCCTTGTTAATTGTGAATGCTTTGCAAGTGTCGCGTCTGGCAAGAGCAGAAGAGCACAAAACACAAGACAACAAGCAGCTCTCAGCAAGTGTGGTCGCAAAATAAACCCAGAAGAAGCCATTGATGCTGACGATGATAAAATTTGTTTGGATGATGAGAAAAAGAGGAAGTGAGGGAGCTTATATATAGTGGGAAGAAGTAGTCAGTGGGTTTGGATGTCATTTGGTGATTGAAAATGATATGTTGCAGACAGACATGGATTTGTTTCAGAAATGAATCCATGTTCGATCCATCTACTTGCTAGCATATATTAGTGTAACTACGTAAGATTCAAGCCAAGTTAATCATGTAATGTTATGCGAGTTGTTTAGAAAATGACTCTCACTTGTTCAATTTGGTCCAACAAATAATACATTCTCTAGCGGTTTCGCTTGTGTGTCACTGTTCAAGATCTTCAGGATTGCCTTATTCTTTTCAGATTTTTGAAGCATAAGAATAACAGACTTTTATTTTCGTTTGTCTCAAGTGGCTCGAGTTTCAAGTGAAATAAATATATAAAAGTAAACTCTCTTTTACCAATTACAAAGATTTGACTGTAAATGTGAAGATCTTATTGAGTAATTTGTAATTGAACTCATCTGGGGGGGGAACAACTTATGGGATTAGGTTTAGTAAAAAAGATTAGTCTTTTATAATGTTGCAAATTAAAGTTTGAATTTTCACTAAAAAAGGTATTTACATTTAATGTCCAACCGTTTCTTAAATAAGATTGACTCTAATGGAAAGATACATATGAGCAATTAAAAAAAAAGAAAAAACTTTCTTTGGTGATCATTTTCCATTACTAATGTTAGAAATTTATGTGTACGCTCATATTACTTAATCTATTAGTGTGCTAAAATGGATTAATTAGTGTTCTCTTTGAAATATTAAAGTTCAATCATGTTATGTGATTATATAAATGATAAAAAAAAAAAAGTAAACCGTTTCAAGTTTTCGTTGGTTGATGCACCCTTAATTAAGATTGAATTAAGTGATTCAACACTAAATTCCAAACGTTCAGACGCTAAAAAGATAAAGATTTATTAGGAAAGTAAGAATTCTGATTAAAGAAAAAGGACATTAGCTATTTTATTTTTAAAATAAAAAATGGTTAGGTATGCTACCAATAGTTTGAAATTGAAACGATCAAAGTGATTAGCTAGCTTAGTTTGTTGGGATTTTGAATTTTTTACAATTACAAATTAATCAATATCTATATATTTATAAAACCTTTTAACAAGTCATGTATTATTCGCATGCTATGAAATAGAGTAAGATTTAATTTCTGATCTCTTCCACGCAATATATTGCAATATATAGAGGCAGCTATTTGCACATAATTAATTCAGTTGGAGAAAAGGTGTATAAAACAATAACCTTTCTAGTGTCACTTTAAACATTTAATTTGATTTGTTTTAGAATGAGGAGTTTGAAAGGTGTCAAGAAATAGTATTACATTGAGATTTGATCGATTTACTGTAATATTACAAATAGACCAAACTAAATAAAGCAACCCTGTTGCTGGTAGTCAAAAGGCTTCAACCTCCTACGGTTAAGACTTGCTAATTAAGGCAAAAAAAGAAAGCTTCAAGCTAAGTTAATTACACCACATTGTGTCGGTTGTTAATATTCAAATATATATATATATATATATATATAATCTGTACAACTCTAACTGCTTTTGATGTTACAGCCGTTAATCTCCCTCTAAACAAAATACTTGTATTATTGCATCCGTTCATATGAGAATTACGTTGAAACCCCCCATCCCCACATTATTATTTTTTTTAACGCAAACATAATCAATATTATAAGATCAATTGATAACTTATACTTTTTTCATTCAAAAATGAAAAATACTTTTAAGAAAAAATTAATTATTTGATTTTTATAGTTTTAACCCAACTGTAATTCACTCCCTAATGTTTTAATTATAAGAAGCAAAGTTCAGAAACTAATTTATAACCAAATTAATTTTAAAGACTAAGTTATAACGAGTTAAAATTAAAAAATTAAATTATAATTAGGTCAAAATTATAAGAATCAAATGATTAATTTTTATCTATTTTTAATTAAATTCTGCCTTTCAGTAAAATAATTAATTGTTTTTAAAATAACATTATCTTTCTATATTTACCTTCATTTAATAAAATGTTTTGCTTTAAAATAAATATAAATAACTTATTTATTATGAGTATTTTTGGAAAAACATATTACTTCTATCTTAAAATACTAAAAATATCTTCTTCTTTTTTAAATATTCAACCTTGTTATTTTTTTTAACAAAAAGAGTAATCATTTTGCTATGCTAAATTGTCAAAATGAATCTTGTAGTACTTAACTGTGTTATGGGACATTTGAATATAATTATTTTAAAAAATTGCCGGGTGCTCAATGTTGTAATAATTTGATTAGAAAGATTATTATTTCAACAACCACCGAGAAATTAATTTTGGAGAGACCACCTTACGAGAAATGGTGGGACGTAACATAAAATTTACGATCTGTATAAAAAATGAAAAATGTGAAAATAATTTATGCAGTTCAAAATATAATAACTTAATCAAATAAAAAACTCAAAAGTGCACTTAATTATTTCCTGATTATAATAATTATAAATTTACTTAGGTGAAAATAATTTATGCAGTTCAAGGATTCTATAATGTTATCTTCAAACTTTACTTGGGTACCCATCAAAGAGAAGGTAGAAGAAGGAGCTTGAATAGAAGGGCCATGAACATCCTTACTGTTCAATACACACTCAAATCAAGTACACAGCAAGGCTTTCTCATTTGACAGTAAATATAACATAACTTTATATACACATAATCACCAGCAAAAATGTCAAGTTCACAACTTACAACACAGATGATCCATAGCTCATTCCCCATTTGGAGAAGACGACCCCACAGGAGCATCTTCTCACTGCTGCATAAACTATCAGAGCCAATCTAATTGAGACTCTAAAGAAAAGAACATATGAAAGGAAAATATACAAGACAAACCATATTGTCAGGAAACTTGCAAGGCCCTGACACGAGCAGTCAGTTCCCTGACTTGGCTCTTCAAACGCTCAGGATTGCAAAAGAAATCAACAAACACTCGCCTTTGGAGTGCAATCTCTTGTGTATGATGTTTCACAATCTGTGTGCAAAAGAAGTTTCAGTTAACAAAACAAACATGATTCACAATATTAGGAGTGTGTCAATCAGGAACTTTCTAGGATTGTCCTTCACATTCAAAACCAATGCAAATTTTACTTTTAACTAAATAGTAAAAGAAGATATAATATTTCCAAGAAATACACCAGGGTGATGGAAGAGATACGCTTTAAGAATCAAGAAGGAATGCAACATTTGTGCAGCAGATTCAGTATTTTAAATTTAGATATAGCGTGGCACTGAGAATTTACTTCAATGATACCAACGGTCCCTTTGCAAGAGTTACTACATGGAAATAAAGGTATTTCGAATTCTCAGCTTCAGGGAATCATGGAGGCCACTGATGACCGATAAGTATGTTGAAACTCTAACCAATCTAAGGCGATCCAAGAGCTTTCCCAATCTGATGAATGTTCTCTCCTGGTTATGATTGTTTTCTGTGAAAATTACTATACAAATTAGTTCTTAAAATGATCTGGATCCTCCGGTTCACATCTGATTTGTTCTTTCTTCAAACAACTGAACTAGCCTCTGGGCTATTGCAATGACAAAGATAGAACACTGAGGATTGGAGGGCAAGAAAAAGTTGACAAGAAATGAAGAGAAAAGAAAAAAAGTAATAAGTGAAACGGTGAGCATTAACTTTGTTATCATGGCACTGTTAACCTTGATTTGCTCTTAATGATAATGAAAGGTATCATACTATGCCCTCCCATCACATGAGAGGATATGGATCCTTCTTAAAGAAAGAACCAAATACTGAGTTTTCTATATCTCATAGTAACACCTATTGCCAGAGGATTGGGCTAAGAGCACAAAGAATAATACAGCAGAGTCTGACTACTACAAAGTAAAGATCATATATTTTTTAAGAAAATCCTATTGCATATATGAGCACAAATTCCAAGATCCGGATGCATTTTTCAATAGTCATGCAGTGGGCCCAGATGAATAAACCACTTATGAGCCAAAGGTTCAAAGCATCAGATTGAGTCCAATAACCTAGATTACTTCCTAGAATCAGACTCTGAAATAATTGATTAGATGGACTGATGAATGCTGCAGCTATAGTGAAATGTTAAATAACTACTCCAGGTAAAACATATCACTGATCTTAGCATTTGCAGAAAGACATTTAAGTGTGCAGACGTCCAATATGAGAGAGCCTTAAGGCTTTAAAGTAAAATTACCTCATTCTTTTTTACATGCTCTAATGTCACCTCTTCCACAGCAGCTGAGAGCTTTGCATTGATCTTTTCCATATCATCGAGCTCTTTCATTAACGGCTAAAGAGATTTGATGGAACAGTCCCCACATTAGTCGCAATACAGGAAAAATGCCAAGGGTACTGTCTTAAGCAAAGACATCTAATTGAAAATAAAAAAGAAAAGGAGATAAAAAATGCTAATATGCCCATTTATTTACAACTTTGATCCAGAGTCTAGAGATGTTCAGAAGCAATAAACTGTATTAAAACGTGAACATCACTTCAACAACCTCAACTCACAATATTACCCTCAGTGACTGATATATTAAATTACCAGCAATCTTCCTCCTTGTAAAGGAATCAACAAAAATAATTGCAGACATTGCTTTTGCAAAGATCCAAAAGCACCACTATAATTTCACTTTCAATTAAGAACATGTTATTCTTTTTGCATCAGTGATAAATTGAGAGATCAAAACCATAGATATCTAAAGTCAACACAAGGAAGCCAATCTAAATTGAGCAACGCCTAGATATGCAATATACCGCCTCCCTTCACCCATTTAGTGTGTGTGTGACAAGAATTTACTAACCTTTTCATTTAAAAATACACGTTACATGATCTAAAATATGGAAGAAGATAAAAAATGCTAGAACACTAACAGAAAAAATCTTAAAAGACTTGGAACAGATACAGAATGCCATACCCGA